GCAGAGTACTTCTTTGTGGGGCTGTGTATTTAACTCTCTGCTGATGCTAACGACCGTTATCGTCAAAAAACGTCATTCTGGACGCCTGGTGGGGACTATGGGAATTACGTTCTTTGGCGATAGAGTGGGGATAAGTTAGCATCAGCAGAGAGTTAATTAAAATTTTGGGTGTAATATTATGTTGTATTTATAAAATTTGTATAATAAATTCAAATTCTTCTGGAATTTTGCTGTTCTATGCATATGTTTGAAAATAAATTCAAGAATGACAATTAAAAATAAAAAATATCGAAAGTATACATTTTCTTAATCCTCAAAGAACACACTTCAAAAACTTACGTTCGAGACACACATGTGCGATTTGTACCCTGCAATACTTTGAAACCTTATATCTTTGTCTCAAATTGATGAAATTCAGTAGAGGCGATCTGTATTCAGTGTGCACTTTAAGGACTAAATGTTCTTTCACTGGTACGACACCACTAATACTAGAGAAGTACCGACAGAAGTGGGCCACACTTTAGTTTTCATGCTTTAGAATATTCAGAAATTAACATTTTTGAACACTTATTGCGTTTATTTGTACAGAAAGGGGTTACCTAACTTTAGGCAAACACACATTTTAAAATTTTTAATTTTAACATATTGTTTAACATCGTTATGCAAAAAAAGAGAAATTTGCGATGTCATGATTTTGTAGACAGAAGTGGGTCACCTAAATTTTTCATTTAAAATAAGAAAAAGGATCAAGCACTATGATTGTATATGTTAAATGATTAATTTTTTCAATAAATAGGGTAAAATAGACAGTAGTCGGCAACCTCTAAATTTTGAATAACTACAAATCCAAATGAGATAAAAAAATTTATATACTTCTATATTATATATCTATCTTATATATTCTATATTATATTATAATATATTTATATATTATTATTTATATTACACAATATATATTTATATGTATGTATGTATATATATATATATATATATATATATATATATATATATATATATATATATATATATATATATATATATATATATATAATACGATGACACACACACACATACAAAAGAAAGAAAATGATCGAAAATTAATATAAATAGGAAATCAATGAAAATAAAATTTCAGTTATCGACCAAACAACATCAAAGGTCTAACTCTAATCATTTCTCTTATACATATAAAATTATAAAAAAATACGATTCATCTTCAAAATTTACTGCAAAGTGATGTGTCTTTATATGTACAGTACCGTCCGAAATTGTCAGTCCACCCATTTTCAAAGGAATGACAAAAATTTTTTAACATAAAATTCATAAAAAGTAAAATTTTTTTTGTTTTTTATTTTGAAAGACGATAAAATTTTAAAAAGAATAAGACCTTACAGAAGTCATTTGGCCAAAATTTGTAGAAGATATTCTTAAAAATCGTCATCAATGTTTTACAAAAATTTGAATAACTTCTAAAATAATGAACGCTTTTTAATAATCTTAGGCTTATTTTAAAGACCATTTTCTACAGAATAAGAATTACTTATAGGCATTAACCTGTAATTTTAAACTTGGAGTAAGCATGACGTCAAAGTTGGACAAAAAAATTCAAAAAATTTGAAATAATATTATTAAAAGAAAAATAATTTTTGAAACTCAAACATATATTTTTATTAAATTTTCTTGAAAAATCTACACCATATCATGTTTTATATATGTTCTAGAATAGTTTTTAGTACAAAAAATTGATTTCAAATTTTTCCAATTTTTTTGTCTAATTTTGACGTCATGCTTATTCCAAGTTAAAAATGACAGGTTAATGCCTATAAGTAATTCTTATTCCGTAGAAAAAGACCTTTAAAATAAGCCTAAGATTATTAAAAAGCGTTCATTATTTTAGAAGTTATTTAAATTTTTGTAAAACATTGAAAATGACGATTTTTAGGAATATCTTCTACAAATTTTGGCCAAATGACTTCTGTAAGGTCTTATTCTTTTCAAAATTTTATCGTCTTTCAAAATATAAACCAAAAAAAATTTTAGTTTTCATGAATTTTATGTTAAAAAATTTTTGTCATTCCTTTAAAAATGGGTGGACTGACAATTGCGGACGGTACTGTATGTGTGCATATATACATATGTATTATAATTATTGAAATCTCTCTTTTTTGTGAGTGCAAATATATACACATAAGGTGCATATATATATATATTTTTTTTTTTTTTTCTCTCTACATATATCTCACACTAACGAAAATATGGTGAGTTTTTTTCTTCCTTATATTCTGTTGATAAATCTATCAAGATAAAAATTACTATATTTTTTATATATGTATTTTTTCTTCATTATTATTATTTCTTTGTTTTTTCTCTTTTTAGTTTTCGTTTATTGTGAACAAAATTTTTTTGTAACCATCGCCCTGATGATGATACCCGCTCATGGGATAGAAACGTCGGCATAATAAAGAAAATTAATTTCTGGAGATCCTATAAGGCAAAATTTATTTATCACAAACATCTTTCCGGATAAAAAGGATCAAAACTAACTTCAACTTTTACACATATTTGCAATCGAAAAAAAAATTGTTTTTAAAGGTTTTTGAGCCGGTGGCCGACTACTGTCTGGTTTACCCTAGTATTGTAAAACTAAGCACAACACTGCAAAAAATGGCGTCTAAAAATAAGACGTTTAGACGTTTATAAACGTCTTATGTAAATAAGCGTCTTAAATGAAAAACATAACCTCCAAATACATGCATTTTAGAAGGCAAATAAGACGCTTATAAACGTCTAAAATGTGACCACGTAAACGTCTTAAATCAAGACGTTCTTTTTTTACAGTGAAGAAGAAGTGCGTTCCGAAATTTTATTAATTTTTATTTGATTTATAGCTTAAGGAAATTTGTCGTAGTTAATGAGTTCAAAGCCAGTCGGTTTAGCCTTTCTTGGTGTCATGACCCAATCAGCACATAAGCTTGCCCAGTAAAAAAAATTCGATACACGGACTGGGTGCCACAAACTTACATTAGGCTTGCTGTGCAAGGTATGCAAGCTTACAGAGCAAGCTCGTGACAAGTTTGTGGCAAGTAATAAAATGTCATATTGCTGCAAGCTTGCACTGCAATCTTGCTACAAGATTATGATATAAGCTTGCTGCAAGCTTGTGAGGCAAGTTTTCGACAAGCTTATTTGGCAAACTTGCTACAAGTTTGCCGGATAAACTTGCTACAAAGTTGCTGCAAGCTGCCGGATAAATTAAAAAACTTGACACGATGCGCAGTTGAATTCTTTGGCATTTACGTCTGCGCAGTAAATTTCTTTGCCACCTGGATATGTTGCTGAGTGTATATTTTGAAATTTATACGAAAATCTCAAAAAAAATTAAAATTGATTCAATTAAGGTAAAGGTCCCAATTATGGGACAATTTACAATTTTGTCCCTATTATGAGACAGTATTACAAAAAATAAAATAAATGCAATTAAAATTGGTCATAAGAAATTTTTACTTATTTCAAAAAATTTTACACGTTAAAAGAATAATTATTTGTGTATAGCATTTAATTTAATAAGAAATGTTTATTTGCATTTTAGCTTTTAAATTAAGGTAAGCCAAGTTTTTCGTCAGACTACCGTCCCACATTAGGTGCACTTATTATTTGCTATCCCTATTATGAGACACACAGGAAATATACAGCAAACATAACCTCAAATATTTTCAGTTTTTTCGCATTAATTTTCTACCAGAAAAATTAGTTTTATAATTATTTTTTAAACCAGAATTTGTTTATTGTATTTTATTCTTTATAATTAATATTCAAATTATTAGGATAAGTCAATAGAATTCTAATTACTTATTGAATTAAATAAATGTCTCATAATAGGAACATTCATTATGGGACACCCGTACATACAGAAATCATAGTCCCATAATTAGTGCAGTGCAGAGTTTCATAATTTAATTAATATTATTTTTATTTCATGAAAAATAACCATTTTAGGGTCTAAATATTATTCATAACATATCAATCTTTCAATCTATACCCTAATTATTCATATTAACACTCCCGATTCCAAGAAATTTATCATAGAAATTTAGTTTAGCTTAAACAGCGTCCCATAATTGGTACTTTTACCTTACATTGTATATACTTGTACAGCAAGCTTGCAATAAGCTTACTGCAAACTTACACTACAAACTTGTAGCAGGTTTGCCAAATAAGCTTGTCAAAAACTTGCCTCACAAGCTTGCAGCAAGCTTATATCATAATCTTGTAGCAAGATTGCAGTGCAAGCTTGTAGCAATAGGACATTTTGTTACTTGCCACAAACTTGTCACGAGCTTGCTCTGTAAGCTTGCACACCTTGCACAGCAAGCCTAATGTAAGTTTGTGGCAAGCTTATGTACTGAATTTTTTAGCAATCGATTGCTAAAAAATTCAAATTAATTGTTAGAACCACTTCATTAGTTTATACAAAATCACTAAATGTCAAAACGGAACGCCAATGCAGTGGCCCACTTCTGTCCACAAGCATAATTTGACGAGAAATAACGTGGTCATAACACCTCGCGACAATATGAAAGTCTCTTTAAATTTTTTAAGGTTAGGTCTGATACTATAATAAAGGCTACTTGCCCAAATGAATTCGATGAATAACTTATGTAAACAACGATAACTTTTACAATGAGAAAAAAGAAAAAGTAGATAATTTTTGGCACTAATTGTACGTCGCACTCTTTAATGACCAACTGAAAATCGATCTTCTGTTGATAACAAAAGAAAAAAATTTCGGTTGACAGATATGTCACTTACAAAACCAAAAACGGCGGGTGGCCCACTTCTGCCAATGCTACTCTATATTGTACCATCCATCCTTATTTGCGCCTATTTTTATTATCGATTAAAAACAACGGTGGAGAAAGTTTTTCTATTACAAATTGTTAAATATAATTCTGTAAAAATATTCAAAATATTTTTGATTCAATAAAGCATGTAAAAGTTACCGTTAATTCTGAAGAAGATTCTTGAGATTTATTATCACTATTATCTACACCCGGTGGAGGAGGCTCAGGGGGATTTGTCGGAGGTTGCTCTTTTGGCAGTGCTGGCACGAACAAATCTCTTGCTGAAATGTTTTCCACAACTGTTACTTCTGGAAAAGGGAAAAATTAGAATCACAAAAAAGCTCTTTCAAGACAAAGTTAAGTTTTTTCTTTAATTTTAAGATATGCAAATTCGTACCTTCACAGCTTTCAACTTCCATTTCAATTGCATCTGAAGATGAAGTGTTAAATACTCTTTTAAGTTTCTTTCTTTTATAACCGACATCGACTTTTTTACTACTTAGCATTTTTAACATGGATTTTTTGCTACTACCAATTTGTTTCTCTGATCCCCAATAGTATGTATCTTCCTGTGAAGAGAAATTTTTAAAAAATAATGTCAGAAAGGATGTTTTTAAATAAACAACTTAGTACGTTACAAGTGTCATTTTCAAGGTTTTGCGTCTTATTTTAAGAAACTTTATTTTGTGCTAAAAATTACTTACGTCTCGAATTCCTTTAGGCGTTGGAATATTAAAACCAGGGAATTCAATGATTTTTTCTGTATCGAATTTGTCTCGATCCCCTTGAAAAAATATTTCGCCTATTTCAGCGTCAGGGTCTTCTTCTGCCACACCATCGGAATTAAATAACGTTATTCCCGAATGCTGAAGTCTTGCTTCTTCCAACCATCCAGGGGGGTAACCAAGAGCTCTCATACTTAAAAAAGTTTTAAATTATCACTATTTGAATTAAACGACAATCAAGAAAATAAAGCGTCCACGGTGAGCTTGGATAAAGTTCAACCAACAAGTCAATGAACATTGCCGTTTCCTTTTGGAATTTCTTAGGGGAGGTCTTCTGATTATTTTAAGACCAAAATGAAAAAAATCGATGGAAGGAAATTAAAATTATCTTGATTTTTAATTTCTTTCAATAGTTAATTTATATAATTAATACAAAAAAAGCTTTATTTAAATTTCTTTCTTAATACAAGACATGTATTTTGGTGTTAATAAAGAATTTCTCCAAGAATTAATCGATTAAAATATTTTAAAATATTAATTTTATTAAAAATTGATTAAAAAACGAGCCTTTTTTACGGTTTTTTAAAAGTAACACTGCTGTTATGCATTTTACACTAAAATCGTAAAGAGATGAATTAAAGTACACATAATTTTCTGTAAATCTAAACAAAGTAGACTGTTCTACGTTTTACCGTTTCATAAATATGACACTTTAAAATTTATATTTAATGTAGAATTCGAATTTAGGAGGCCATTTTCAATATTTTTTTTCTTTAATGTTCTAAATATAATAGCAGAAAATCACAATTTTACAACAATAAACATACTTAACACGCGTAACACAACTAACTTCACTTTCATGACTAAATATCGAAGATATATTATTCTTTTACAGGACTTGAGAATATTTCGATTTTTTAACAATATTATTTATTTCAATTGATATTTTTATGAATCAATATGAATTAAAAACTGAATAATAAAAACTTACATATGTACTTATAAGTAATTTTTTAACCAGGAGCCTTGATCTTTGAGACGTAACCAATAAAACTTTATATTATAAAATTCTTCTATTTCTGAACATAGGGGTCGTTCATAAACTACGTCACACTCCTAGGGGTGAGGGGTGTCAAGCTGTCTGTGACGAAGTATGGAAAAAATTTTTTTTTAATCTCCTTCCATCGATTATTTTCATTTTGGTCTGAAAATAATCAGAAGACCTCCCCTAAGAAATTCAGGGTTGCTACGGTTTCAGTATTACAAAATTCCCTGACTTTTCCAGGTTTTCCAGACTATTTTTCTTAAAATTCCCTGACCAAATATAAAATTGTTGTAGGGTCAGTCCATTATATTTCACCTGAAGCCGTTGCGGCCTATTTTTAAAAAAATCTCATAATTTGTAAAAATGATGTTTAATATCCATAGAATTCATTTTTGAGAATTATTTTATAAATTTTTTTGAATTTAACTTAGAATTTTAATTTTTAAATTTAGTTGGACAGAAAAAAGGTTAGATTGACAGTTATGTAAATTTAATAAAAAAGCATGGAAATAATTTAGATAATAGAAATTTCTTGAATGATATTTGTTAAAAATGAGCTAATTTACTTGTATAAATAGATTTTTATGTAAACATACTCAAAATAATAGATAAAAATTGATTTTAAAACTTAACTATGAAATGTCAAAAGTCACTACATTTAAATTACATTTTTCTAAAAAGTTTATAAATATAAAAAAATTTATTTCTATTTAATGTAAAGTATTTTCAATGTACTTTCATAATATGTGCTAACTTTTTAATGTTATAATATAGAAATATGAAAAATTTTACCTTTAATATTGAGTGTTTCATGATTTTCAGTGATTTTAATCACTTATTTCTTCTCAGGTGCAAGACTAAAAAATCCAATTTTTGTCTTAATATTTAAGTTTGACCTTCTTTTCCATTCTATTAAATTTTGGTGATGGAGAACAAGCTACTTTGTAGTTTTATTCATGTTTAAAAAATCTGCTTCCAAAAGCGAGTTTGTTGGTTAAAATGCAGGTAATTTTATAACACTGAAGTTGGCTATCTCAATAGTCATGCAAAAATCTACTTGCATTTTAACCAACAAATTCGTTTTTTCAGTAGATTTTTTAAACTAAATTTAAACTGAAAAGTAGCTCGTTCTCCATCACCAAAATTTAATAGAATGGAAAAGAAGTTCAAACTTAAATATTAAGACAAAAATTGGATTTTTTAGTCTTGCACCTGAGAAGAAATAAGTAATTAAAATCACGGAAAATCATGAAACACTCAATATTAAAGGTAAAATTTTTCCTATTTCTATATTATAAAATTAAAATGTTAGCACATATTATGAAAGTAAATTGAAAATACTTTACATTAAATAGTAATACATTTTTTAATATTTATAAACTTTTTAGAAAAATGTAATTAAAATGTAGTGACTTTTGACATTTCATAGGTAAATTTTAAAATCAATTTTTATCTATTATTTTGAGTATGTTTACATAATAATCTATTTATACAAGTAAATTAGCTCATTTTTAACAAATATCATTCAAGAAATTTCTATTATCTAAATTATTCCCATGCTTTTTTATTAAATTTTCATAACTGTCAATATAACCTTTTTTCTGTCCAACTCAATTTAAAAATTAAAATTCTAAGTTAAATTCAAAAAATTTTATAAAATAATTCTCAAAAATGAATTCTATGGATATTCAACATCATTTTTACAAATTATGAGATTTTTTAAAAAATAGGCCGCAACGGCTTCAGGTAAAATATAATGGACTGACCCTGTAATAAAGTTTTAGCTTATATGTTACTATATGAAAAAATTGAACGATATTTTCAATAAAACATTTATAAGATTATTAATTAACAAATTTTTTTAATATAACTTGAAGAATTAGTTAATGGAGTTTTTTTAAATTAGGAGTGAGAATAAAAATGAAAAATTGAATACATTCGAAAGTTTAATTTTATTAGGAATCTTTGGAAACAACTTTTAATGAGTCTGAACATAATAATTTGAATACAAAATATAATATCAATTTGTATTAGAACTAATCAGTTGTAGTGAGACATTTCAACCTTTATAACAAAAATATATTCCACTTACACTAGTACTAGAGCAAAACTAATCAGTCTCAGTGAGATAACTTACACTATATCAAATAGTGAACACTTATTAGAGTTTGATAAATATTTAAAGACATCGATATAACAGTTATTAATATAAAGAATCGTTTACTTCAATTGCATGCATAAAGCTTCAATTTCATCATTAATTGAATCCGTTTTTGTCTTATGTTCAAGTGCAATACTTCTTTTCTTCTCCTGAAGATCTTTTAACTTCTCACTTAAACTCTTTTTCTTTAAGTCCTCTTCACGATCATTTGCAGTCTGTTTCTTCTCTTTTTTTAGTGCATCCATATAATCTCGTCGGGAAAACTGTACGCGATCAATCATTTTTGACGTTATGCTTACATTCGTGAGACCACCTTCCGCGACAATTCCATCATAGACTTGTCGCAGTGCAATTAACGAACTCTTTTTTTGATTTTCAATTACCATTTCCTTGTTTACACTAAACCCCCTTTCTACGAAAGCATTGCCGTGGCTAAGAAGGAGGACTAACTTCAAAAACTTCTTTATCTCGAGTGAGGAATCGTTAAAATTTAAAATTGTCATCCAAAATGTGTCAAGACGTTCGGACCTTTTATAATCTTTACAACTATCCCTTACATTACGTTTCGCAGCAAGAGTGACAAATTCTTTCTTAATCTTGTCACACTCTTTTAAACTTAGCCAGTTTCCTTTCGCAAAACATGAAAGCGATGAATCTAGCCGCCTGGATACGGTTGAACTTGAGCAATTGACAATCACCGATGGATCACAGCAAGATATGCCCTTGCACAATTCATATTTCAGAGGAGATTTTTCTATTAGTTTTTTGCACAGACATTTCAAAAATGTCCTACAGTCATTTTTAAAGATCAATTTTTCCTTATCAGATGCGGTTTTTGCCTTTTTGAGCTCTGTATTCACAGAAAAACTGTCTTCTAAATTAATATTCGCAGCTACTCTCAAGTTTTCTGAATCATCGAGATTTATTTTAGCGATATTTGTTGACTTCACAAGCACTTCTTTTTTTACGAATATCTTTATTAAATCCAAAACTACTCCATGAAGCGACGAAAAAAGCAAGGGGGCCATAGGTGCTTCCGTTTGAAATTCCGTTAAAAATGGTTCCAAAGTTGAAGCTACATAGCCAAAAAAAGCAAGCTTGGCGGCAAGCAGTTTGTCCTCTAGACAATTTTTTAAAGTCTGGTAACTCCCAGCCTTAATACTCTTGTCCTTGTTGCTTTTAGAAACTCATTCCACATATTTTTTCAAATTAGGAAGAATTTTCAGTGCTCTTTCAGCAGCCTCTCTATTGCAGAGCCATCTAACGGGACATAATTTGAGACCAAACTCTTCAGAACCTGAATATTTGGTGTAATCGTCTCTTCTCGCAGAGGAATCCTTAAATATATAAAACACTGCTCTTAGAAATTCAGCAATCCCCCATTTTGTAGCTTTGGCACCTTCTTTGAAAGCATTATTACACGTATGTAGACCGCAAGTTCCCATGAAGAGAAATTGAAGGGATTCCGGATTTTTTTCAAAATTTAAATCGATTTTCAGATCATTTACAAATTTTAGGTTCACATTGGGACCATCAATGGAAATATTCAAAAGTTTCAATAGCATGAAAGGTACGAGCGTAGACTTAAAAGCATTCAAGAGATCAACAGCTGTGCAGTGACCGAGAAACGATGACGTGTAGTATCTAATAGAAGTCTGATTTGTTTCTTATCCCAGAAGCCTATAGCGAAATCCATTTGGGTAGATTTAATACTTTTGTTAAAACTTTCGTCAAAATATATGACTATTGCGTCACTCTCGCTGGCCTTGATTAAAAGGTTGTCCAAGAAATATGGTGCTAAACCATGAGAAATCACGTACGACATTTTTGCTCGACCTAACTGCATTCCAGCAGCCTCTGGACTGTTTGGAAACATGACAGGAAAAAGTTCAGTACATTTTCCGGCAGTTGACATGGGCATATGGTACATAACACTGGCCATTGTCCACATAATTTCAGCTTTGATAACATATTGTTTATTCAGGTACTGTGATATGTCGTTCGATTTAGCAGGTGCTCTTCCATCTATGTTACTCGCTACTGCCTTAGAAATATTCGGATCCTTGTTCGTACCTCCATTGTTTTGAATATCGACAAGATTCTGTGATAAAAAAAAGGAATACTCAAAATAAAAACATTTTTTAACAATAAAAACGCTTATTTAAATTGAGTTTAATGTTAACAGTAATTTAATCCAGTAATTTTGTTCATAATACCTGTTGCTGGTTATTATCAGATGGTGCATTTGATTCCACAGCTCCAAACAAACGGATGTTATGACTACTGTTTTTCACTTGTACCGCTTTCTGGTGTTTTTTTTCCCGATATATGGCTATCTAATGCTTTTTTCCCCATATTGCTGAGGCTGAAGCTGGAGTGGCAAAGAATACATGAAGCTTTGTGGTTACTATCAGTAGCTCGTCGAATGTACATTTCGTAATTCGGGTTTGACAACCAGTCATCTTGGAATGACGTTTTTTTGTAGATGGCATCACAATCTATGCACAGAATAAACTAATAATAATTATGTTAAAAGAAATATTAAACAAAATTTAGGTTGTCTATCAAATTAGTTAAAAGAACTAAACTAAACCCATTAATCACAAACTGAAAAGTAGATTTTAACAGATAATTTTTTTGTTGTCGAATTTTTAAAAAATAATTTTCTTCAAAATTATTTTAAATAATATAATATTTGTTTTTTATATTTTATAAACAAAATATTTATCAATAAAATAAAAAAACAAAATTGTATTCAAAAAACAAAAAGAGCTATTGTTTAAATAATTGGATAAAAATGACGGTTCATAGGTAACTTTTAAGCAAAAATAGAAAATGTAAACTATTATTTAACCAGAAATTTTAACTCAAAACATATTTCTTTCTTAAAAATGTACAACTGGATCTTTCGAAATTAAATCAAATTAATATTGATAGTTAATCAGTTTTTGCGAATTTAGTATCAATAAAAATTTTATTACACTTCTTTATGTAAAGGAAGAAAATGTTTGCATTTTAAAAGAATTCAAAGCTTGTACAAATTCATAATTTTTTAACAAAAAGTATTTTTATGGCATTCAATACAAATCTAGAATCAATAAATCTTAAATGCTAAAAGCATTCACGAATTATAAAAACAAAACCTCATGTTCACTTTGTCACATAACCTTAAATGTCGCATTATAATATTTCTGATGCCAAGAAAATAAAAACTTTCATTTTCAGACAATAAAGTAAAAATATTTATTATATATTTATGTACTTATAAAACACTTACCTCTTTTAAATTGGGAACACATAAAAACACTGAAAATTATTTAAACACTGGATTGACCGTGTTGATGTGGTGTTGATTCATCTCAGTATACGTAAAAACGTAATTGCTTTATCATAATGTAATGCGCGCTAAGAAAAATTTTTAACCAATAGACACTACAATTTAGAAGCACCATCTTGACTTTAATTTTAAGCGCTAAATTCAAAACTGAATTATATCAGTAGAAAAGAAAGGCAGTATTGCCAACTTGGTGCTTCGAAATTTACGCGATTCACATACGGGAAATTAATTTTTGAAAAAATATTTTATAAAATTCCCTGACTTTTCCAGGTTTTCCCTGACCAAGAAAAAATTCCCTGACAATTCCAGGTTTTCAAGGTTTTCCATGACCGTAGCAACCCTGAAATTTTAAAAGGAAACGGCAATGTTCATTGACTTTTGGGTTGAACTTCATCCAAGCTTACCGTCGTATTAACTCATTCGAAAAAGTACGGTTTAAAGCATATATTTTTACTTTCGTTGCCTTACACGGAGAAGGAAAGACGGCTACGATAACCGGCGACCCAAGTAATGACTGCCTGAGTGACTCAAGCAATGACTCATTCAAGTGAAAACAACTTGGGTCCCAAATAGTATTTGCCTGGCAAACGCACCTCTAAAAGATGGTAAAGTAGGGATTGCGTGAATTAAGCTAGGAAATTGACTCGCTGAGAGCACCATTCTCTCACAGAGTCGGCCATTTTTGTGCATGTGGGATAAAAAATTAATTTTGTACCAGCAGAAAAATTTTTTTGAAAATATATTAATTTATCTTTCACATTTTTTTCGTGCCTGCCCCCGACCAGAAGCACTCGCTTACCTCGTGCATCAAATGTCGAGGCAGGCGAATGTTGTTGCAAGAGAGAGACAGAGAAAAAACAGAGCTTCATGAGTGTCCGCTAGAGGCATTGAAGGGAGGAGCAAAAGTAAATAAAGATGGACGGCTGTTCAAAATGTCAAAAAAATCAATTTTTTATTTTGTTTATTTTTGGATTTCTTATAGTGTCAAGAATACTCTCCTAAAATTTTATTGCAAAAATTTGTTTATTTTCGGATTTCTTATAGTGTCAAAAATACTCTTCTAAAATTTTATTGCAAAATTTGAAGTAAAACAAAAGTTATACATACTAACTTATTCTTCGCCATGTCAAAGATGTTTTTATATGCGGATAAGCAGAACTCAATCGAATGATTTGAATGTTTTCTTATTTGCATTTTGTAAAAAAGACAAACAAAAATGTATTTGGTGTTGCAGATCACAAATTAGATATCAAATTTTTAAAATTCAAAATGGCGGATGCAATATGGCGGAAGAGAAAATTAAAAATCAAGTGGATTTGCTTGAAAATTGTCGCTCGGGAGTTCTTAAGGTCGCTTATTACGAATATGATATCAGATTTTTGTAATTCAAAATGGCGGATCCAATATGGCGGCCAATTTAAAAAAAAATCATTGGATTTGCTTGAAAATCGTAACTCGGGGGTTATCGGGGTTATTGATTACGAATCTGACCTCAGTTTTTAATAATTCAAAATGGCGGATCCAATATGGAAAGAAATTTTTCAAAATTAATCAATTTGAATTTCAAAAATCTAATATCATATTCGTAATCTGCGACCCCAAAAACCCCCCAGTAATGATTTTCAAGCAAATCCGATGATATTTAAAAAAAATTGTCCGCCATATTAGATTCGACATTTTGAATTTCAAAAATCTAATATCCTATTCGTAATCAGCGACCCCAACCCCCCCCCCCCCAGTAACGATTTTTAAGCAAATCCGATTATTTAAAAAAATATTTTCCGCTATATTAGATTCGCCATTTTGAATTTCAAAAATCTAATATTATATTCGTAATGAGAGACCCCAAAAACCTCCCAGTAACAATTTTTAAGCAAATCCGATTATTTAAAAAAAATTGTCCCCCATATTGGATCCGCCATTTTGAATTTGAAACCCCGAAAACCCCCGAGTAACGATTTTCAAGCAAATCCGATGATTTTTTAAAAAAATTGTCCAAACTTATCAACTAAAACTTAAAGTGCGTTTATCTCAAAATGTCTTTTTTTGATCTGGTAAGAGTGATATCTCGAGTTCTTATGAAGCGATTTTGAAAAATCACACGGCATTTGATTCATTGTCATCATGTCTATAAGTGGAACCTCAAAAAACTGGAAAATTTCCAACTCCCTTTTTATTTATAAGAGAAATTCTGGATAAAAACATGTGTTTTTTTCATGTTTAGGGGAAAAAGTACTTTAATAAAAGGAGGGGAAGAAAATTCGATCTTACCATAAGAAATGGACATTTTTGAAAATGGCGTATGTCGCCGCCATTTTGAAGTAAAAATAAAAAAAAAATTTCATATTCAAAATAAATTATTTGTCACATGTAAAAGAAATTTTATAAATAAATGTCATAGTTATTTTAATATTATATACTAAAAAACCTTGTTTTTTCCTGTTTTGAACTGGAATGTCCCCTTAAAAGATAAATTAGCGAGCGTACTTTCGACCGTATATAAAGAAAAATAGTATACATTACAAGGGCAGAAATTCGAAAGCTCTAAACTAAGCGATGATGCCCGAGACGAAGCCAGTGCAGGATTCCTGCGCAGTGCAGGAATTTCAAACTTTCTGCCCTTATAATGTAATATACTATTTTTTTCATAAAATGAATAAATTTTTTTATATGAGCACTTTGCTTGTAAAATATTCGTTAAAAAAATTTAGAATCAGTCCCGTACCAAGAGTTTCTTTGAGAACCCTCCCAAAAAAGCGGTGGTCACGATATCTTCTTACCGGTTCATCGAAAATCAAAAAACCGAATACTTTCTGTTAGTGGATGAGTATAGCTCGTGACTGAACGAAGGAATATTTTTTTTGTTGATTAAAACCGATTTTACATGGTCTTAATGGTTCTGAAAATTGTAACTTTTGACAAAAGACAGTGTCAAAAATCCAAATTTCAATTTCTTTAAAAACCCTTCGTTCAATCACGAGATATATTCACCCACTAACCGAAAATTTTTTGTTTTTCGATTTGAGTTGAAGCAGTCAAGATATTTTGACCACCGGAAAAGCAAATTTTTAAAGGGGCCCGAAGAACTGTTGCTACGGGCCTAATTTTTAATATTTTTTATAAAAAATTTTATATCTTACTTATTTAATGTACTTTCAGATACCAAAGTATTAAAAAAAAATTTATTTATTTGATGAAAAAAAATTATTATAAAAACATACGTTTTCTGGTCGTTTTGACCCATGGAAGCCCTTAAGTTGAAGAACGATAACAAGTCAAAAAACACCAAAAGGGATAAAAAAATATCTTATCTCCAATAAGAATTCTGTATTAGAACGATTTCCATTAAATCTGAAGTTCCTATTGGTTAAATGCTTCCTGTTTTCCGCTTTCACGCTACTTAAATCAAATACAGTCAACTCTCGATAAGACAAAGCGCGATAACTCAAATTTTTTGGTAAGTGAAAGTAATTTTTGGGTCCCGTTCATTCGCTATAAACAATTAAATAATAATTAATAATAATAATAATTAATAATTAATTATTAAAATTTGATAACTCAAACTTTTCGATAACTCAAAGTTTTTTCGCTCTCTTCGAGTTTGTCTTATCGAGAGTTGACTGTATGTTGATTTAATTCAAATTAATATGATTATTGTGTTATAAAATATATTATTTATGTAAATACAAAAGTCTCAATTTTTATATTGACTTGACACAATCTGCGACAGCTTACTACTAAAGGTTATGTTTACTTTCAAACGCAGCGTCGATACGTCGATACATGGCACAAAATGACGTCACGGTTAGGCTATATGGTGGGAGGATAAAATAGGTGAAAGTTGAAACTATAGGAGTTCTACTGTATATAGGTTAATAACTATTTCCAATTTTACAAAAAGCGTTACTTATTAAAAGCTTATTTACTTACCCGTAAATGTGTCGCGGCAATTCATTGTCCTTCATGCCAAGAGCTTTTCTCAAGTTTCCACTTATATTCCCAGGAACAATGTGTCCAAATTTCTGATCGAGATCTTGATGATACCTTAAATTTTTGTTCGACTGTTTTGAAACAAAATCTTTCTTATTTTTATTAATGTTGTTCTGATTTCTTGGTTCCTTACAGTCTCGCAAATTATGATTTCCCAGGCAATTGAAACAAGTAAGTTTTGGACAACAATCTTCTTTAGGTGTACTCAACTCCATTGTTGGCTTTTCCAAAGGTTTGCTGAATTTCTAAAGAAAAATTTATTTTTTTTACAATTCCGTGCGCAATTTTAGACAGTAAAAATAAATTTTTAATATTCTTCTAAATAATGGTGCTAATTGTAAATTTTTTGTGATTTAGAGTAAATTATATTCAAAAGCAGAATATGGCTAAAGAAATAAATGGAAAATTTTTCTTTCTCTTAAAAATAAAATAGTAAATAAAATTGTTAAAAAATTACCTGACCATAAGTTGGAATATCGAAGTCGTCTTTTAATTTCGGTATTGTGTCTACCGTAAAAAGAGATTCTTTATCTATTTCTCCATGTGAATCACCAGAGGACCAACTTCTATCCTTCAAATCAGACTCTCGAATTTCTAACTCCAAATCAGTTTCGTTGCTTTCTTCTTTTACATTTGAAGACAATAAATTTATCAGTAATCTTCTAACGTGTTTTCTATATTTCCTACAAATTTCGAAAAATTAATGTCTATTTCTTAAAATCAAAAGCTATATTATTTTTCATATGTTAAAATTAGATCTTACAATTAATTTAAATCATACAATCTACATACAGTCGTATCACGTCATTGCAAGATTCGTCAAAATTTCCCACTCTTCAAACTCTCATAAACGCAAGACACTTATACCACGCCTACTTTCTAGCTTTCTAGGGATAAGAAAGGGTTGATTATCTTGTCAAGGGCATTCCAGAAGCAACCTTGAGAAATCAAGCTCGAATCCAGAGGTTTAAGGACGTGGCGGATTTGATGTTCACGTTCGAGAAGGTGACCTTGACTATTAGAGTTTCTCCTGAAGGATCATTGAAAGAAGTGAAAGATTCGAAAGATCAGAGTAAAAGCGAATCGAATCAACGTCGAAAGATGATCGGAAAAACAGATGTTATAATTGTGGTCAGTGGGGACATCTGTCATTTGAGTGTGAGCGAGAACCACGCAAGAAAGGCTCTTGCTTCCGATGCGGTGCTATAGATCACATTATCAAAGATTGTCCACAGCGAGATAAACGACTACCACTCAGGGGACCAGGAAGTAGTCAGGGTACCAGTCGAGAAGTAGCAAATGTCGAGGTGGATCAGGAGGAGGACGAATTCTTGAAGGTGGTTGATCACGAATTGCAGCACGACGAGGAGATCTTCACCATAGACTTGGTTACAAGGTTGTGTTGCGTCGAAATACGATAAAAAAAATTTGGTTTAAAATTAATAGAGTCTTTGGATTGTTTTGAAACGGCGAGCAAAGAAATTTTAAATATTGACGTAGAAAATAAAAATAACGAGCAATCTAATTTGAATATTAATTCAGAAATTTCAAATGTTGATCGCGATTAGGTAGAAAAATTGTTTATTGAAAGTTATATAAAACCGAAACGACCAGAGAGACCTAAAATAAATGCAGAACTGATAATTGTTTTAAAAAAAGGAAAACCGTTTCATTATAAACCGACGAGACTTTCTTTTGCTGAAAAAACGGGTTTGAAAAAATGACTTGATAAATTGCTTGCACAAAAACGCATAAGACCGAGCGAAGCAGCCCTTGATCGAAGATCAGTTAAATATTTTTAGTGGAAAAATCTATTTTAGTCTCTTAGATCTCAAGGATGGTTTTCACCATATTTCGATTGCAGAAGATTGTTGCAAATACACGTCATTAGTGACCCCATTTGGCCAGTATGAGTTCGTGTGCATGCCGTTCGGACTCAAGACGGGGCCTTTGCGATTTCAGAAGTTCGTAAATACAGTATATTAAGAGAAGTAATTGACAGTGGGGATGTCGTGGTCTACATGGATGACATTGGTCGCCACGGAGTCTATCGAGCATCATTTACTTGTTTTAAAGAAATTTTTTAAATTACTCGGGGTTAAAATGAGCATTAAATCCTCGAATTACAATTTTTTAAATATTAACGATGGCTTTTAGAGTAAATACAGTAGAACCCGGTTAATACGATTTCCCGCTTAAAACGCTCATTTATGGTGGTCCCTGCAATTAAAGACATACATTTTATTTCCCGCCTAATACGTTTTCCCGCATAACCCTTTCACGCCCATGGGACATATACGTCCCACCTACAAAATCCTCAATATCTTTGAAGAAACTTAATATTTTTGAGTTTAATTTAGTGCGTTCTCTTCAGGAAGAATAGGGCTTTAAAAATAAGTAACCTAGATCATGTTAAAAAATTCCTATTGTTTAAAAAAATTCATAAATTATTGTTAAAAATCATGAATTTTTAAAATATTTTAAAATCGCCTAAAAATTGTTACTCGGGGGTTTTCGGGGTCGCTGATTACGAATCCGGTGCTAGTTTTTCAAAATTCAAAATGGCGGATCTAATATGGCGGACGACAAATGTAAAAATTAAACGGATTAGCATGAAACTTGTTACTCGGGGGTTACTAGGGTCGCTGAATACGAATCCGGTGTTATATCTTTAAAATTCAAAATGGCGGATCCAATATGGCGGGCGTTATTTTTAAAATCGTTTAGTTTCACCAGAAACTTGTTACTCGGGTGTTTTCGGGGTCGCTGATTACGAATCCAGTGTTATATTTTTAAAATTCAAAATGGCGGATCCAAGATGGTGGACGATTTTTTTAAAACATTTTAATTTCACCTGAAACTTGTTACTCGGGGGATTTCTGAGTCGTTGATTACTAATTAGGTGTTAATTTTTAAAAATTCAAAATGGCGGATCCTACACGGCGGACGACAAATGTAAAAATTGTTTGGATTAGAGGGAAACTTGTCACTCAAGGGTTTTTATGGTCTCTTATCACGAATTTGTAGTTTATTTTAAAATTGCGATTGTGTATTTATTTATTTATTTCTGTCAGTAGATGGACTTGTTTCTTTCTACTCTCACTGGATTCGTAATCAGTGACCCCGAAAACCCCCGAGTAACAAGTTTCTGGTGAAACTATACGATTTTAAAAATAACGTCCGCTATATTGGATCCGTCATTTAAAATTTTAAAAATATAACACCGGATTCGTATTGAGCGACCCTGAAAACCCCCAAGTAACAAGTTTCTGGTAAAACTAAACGATTTAAAAAAAATCGTCCGCCATCTTGAATCCGCTATTTTGAATTTTTAAAAAATGATGTCATATTCGTAATCAGCGACCTCAAAAACCCCCGAGTAACAATTTCCAAGCCAATCCAATCAATCTGTAAAAAAGTTTCCCGCCATATTGGATACGCCATTTTGAATTTAAAAAATTTTATAATTCTGATATCAGATTCGTAATCAGCGACCCCGAAAACTATGAATAACGTTACACTTACGTTTTTTTAACCGTCCAGTTATGCCTGGGTGTGAAAGGGATAAGACGCACTCTTAGCGCGGTCCCTACAGAATCGTATTAACCGGGTTCTACTGTATTAAGGGGGAGTGACACCTTTGACAAAATCTGCAAAAGGTGCCCAAGAGCGCTTCAAGTGCTTTCAAAACTTTAAACTCGTTTTTCTCGAAATGACGTTTTTCAAAACGGTGGTCAGTCTAGCTAGAACAGTTTTGATCGGATTGACTTTGGACAAAGTTTTTTTTTATGGTCATTTACTAATGCTTTCGAGTACGTAGCGGATTTTTTTTTGGTTTCTTTGTTTTTTTTGGCAACAGATTTTTTGACAAATTTTCGCCCTAAAAATCGACTTTTTACTTCAAAAAACTGCCAAATACACCAAAATTAATATTTTTAAAATATCCTACGTACTTGAAAGCTAAATCTATCTCAGATTCAGAAAAACTTTGAATTTTTGATTTAGATTAAACGGTTTAACCGGAATCTTGCCCACCGATTTGCTCTGCAAAGAAAGGAGACCAACTTCGGCGCCCTCTATAGGCAACAAATTTAAACTTTTTTACGTATAAATATATTTTTGTAAACTTAAAAAGTTAACAAATAAATCCCTCAAAACCAAATTTTGTTTACTTTATTCCCGTGCCTTAAAAAAATCCATGAAAAACAGGTTCAAAAGAGGCCTCAAAGGTGTCACTCCCCCTTAAAATTTGTTCCTATTATGCTTACAGCCAATTCAACGGGCGTCAAAAACTGAGTCAAAAAAAGTCCAAAGTGTTCCAAAAGCTATTTCGGAAAAGGGTTAAGGTACTACTACACTTTAGAAGGCTCTTAAAAGACCAAATTTAAAAATTTTTTTTCTTAGGTCTTTTATTATAAATATTTAAAAACTTTTTTGCCTATATTAGTACATATTTGGAGAATAATAATAATGGTTTGTTTTTAATTTTTATTCAATATCATAATCTGCAGACAGCATTCAGATCGAAACTCCAAAAAGTTAGTTGTCCAATTGCGGACAGTTTATCTCAAGATTGACAAATCGGAAACAAAAAATCCAAATTGCTTTTTAAAAAGGAAGGTGTCTTGCATAGAAATCTACCACCAATAATGAAAAATCGACTAAAATAAAAAAATAGCAGATGTTTCAATAATTTGTTTAAAAATACACTATGTTTTTCAGTATTTTTCTAGTCTGCAAAAATGTTTTTTTTAATTTTTTGACCATTTTCTGGTAAATTGTCACGCAGGACATGCTAACAAACAAAACGAGTTATTATTTATTAAAATCGGTTCAGTAGATTCAGAGATAAACTGTCCGCAATTTGAGAAAACGTTATTTTGAGAAAAACGCGTTTAAACTTATATATATGTATCGTTAGAGGCCATTCATAAATTACCTAAAATTCTTTTGCAAATTGAAACCCCACCATTTTTTTATGTCAGACACTGTTACATACATTAGCACCAATGTTTCTACTGGTCGTAACGAAAAGCTAAACCCCACCATCCCCTTAAAGACTTACTTAATTTGTCAATGACTTTTTACATTAATTGAATATTTTTTGAAAAATTTACTTTTATTTTTTATAAATACTTTAGGAGGTGTTTTCTAAAGTCATAAAGAGTTAAAAAATGCAATAAAAAAAATAAATTTTTTTAAAATTCTAAAGTATAGTAGTACCTTAAAAGGAGCATTAAATATTTGATTTACATTTTTTCAATCATTAACGATGGCTATTTGTGTAAAAATTAAAATTTGTTCCCATTATGCATATAACCAATTGAAAGGGTGTGAAAAACAGAGTCAAGAAAAGTCCGAAGTGTTCCAAAGGCTTTTTCGGAAATGGGTTAAAAAGAGCATTAAATATTTGTGTTACAATTCTTCAAACATCAACCAAAGCTTTTTGAGTAAAAATTAAAATTTGTTGAATTGATACAAAAGCTATTTTGCAAAGGGCTATAAAGGAGCATTAAATCTTCTATTCGTATTACAATTTCATAAAAATTTACATAAAAATTGGTTCCTATTATGCTCATAATGAATTGAATAGGCGTCAAAAACTTAGTCAAAAAAAGTCCAAAATGTAAATAAATTACTATAACTTTTCATGATGATTATTTTTAGAATATTTATTATTTTT